TTTTTTCTACACGTTTCTCGGTACTTCCTTAATACAAAGTGTACGGCATATCACTTTTCAGCACTTTAACTTTTTTTTAGTTACGTACAAGCCAAATGTTTTTGTGCCAAGTGTATGGAATAGGGGCATAAGAAACTGAGAAAAAATTGAAGATAAAATGACGATTTTAAGATATACCTCCACGACAAAATGGCACAAGATTTTTGTAAACAGCATGATAATATCAAATAGTATACATCAGATAAAAGACAATTTTCTTCCGAACAAAACCGCATCTAGAAAACTTGGTGTTTTGGTTGAATAGTAACTTTCACCGACTTAACAATGTATCGACTTCATAAAAAAGGTCGAAGATTCAGAATCTGAAATTTAACCGTGGCTCAATTTATCAATCTTGAATAACAACTGAAGTGGTTTATATCGCCATAAAGCTTATTGAATTGGTTTTCTCACAACACTAATATCTCTTTCACGTTCTTTCAAAAATATCAGTTTTTGATATAATTCAAAATTCGGCACCCATACAAACTGCCAAGTTGCCAGTGTATGTTAACAACAACGTATTATTCTTACCTAAATCGTTAACTTTAGGCAACTAACCTGAAATATCCGAAAACTTTTCCTTTCTCGCCGATAGTAATACACCCATGGCAAGCAAGTAATGATTTTACTTGCTGTTAAACATGTTCAACATGAAACAGGAGCATAACATTTTGCAGACAAATGTGCATGCGCACAACCTTCGCAGCGAGTTAAAAGACGTCCAAAGTAGTTGTAAATTTACAGGAATATTGGCACTGAAAACCACATTGATATAACGAAACTAGACACTTACTTCAGCGCCCCTTTGTAAGTTACAACCGTAGGACATTGACAGCAATCATTGATAATTTCATTTGTGTAGCTAAATTTTCAGCATAAAGTTTGTACCTTAATTTTCTTTTCTTCCTTATAATTATATATGCAATAAATCGACCCCAATTAAGCGAGGATTATGTGGCAAACACCAGTAGCACCCTTGCCGACGAGGGGTCTATCTTTGGGGAGGTTTCGCTATCCCGGCCCGACAACTAGCTCGCCNCAGAAGAGCACAGATGGAAGAACAATTGGACATGCATTTTAAAATATATGAAATTGGTGTATCAATTCAATTATTATAATTGAAAATAAAACATTTTGGCATTGCATGTAGTACATTTCAGTGTTTACTTATCACAACATCTTATGCCATTTGTATGGTCCTTATTATTTTTCATTTTATGACGAAAAAAATCAAATCGACAACAACATTTACTTAATTGAAATTTTTGAGCTGTGTATACAATTCAATGAAGTGTGTTCCATGAAAAATATATTTCTATTTTTTAAATTTTGCTTTCTAGTTGTTCAAATTTTATACAGATTTAATTACGTGTATGTGAATATAATAATAATGTCAGACATGATATATCCGTGAAAGTTGTGGTAATTCACATATATAAAACCCTTTATTCAGGCTCAGAAATATATCACCTAAGACTTTTCATAACCTTTTCTTCATCTTCTTGACAAGTGTTCAGTTCTTTTTTTTTCTAGTTATTATATTTCAGATAAAATTGCTATCTGATTTCCATATTTCATTGATTCAACAAGCATAACGTACAACTTATGATCCTACCGCTAAGTGCAAGTATCGTTAAAACAATTGAATACAGAATACAGGACCTTTAATGTACGGTAGAATAGAAGGCAGCTTGAATTCAATGTATGGCGCAGTTAAACAGAGTTTGTTAACAAACACAAGCAATTTCTTATATTGCAAAGCGTCATCCTGTCATCCATTAGCACGTCAAGCCAGTGGGAAGTATCAATGTAGAGATGAAATAAGTAAATTGGTCGATAATGCTTCAAAAGCAGGTTCAGGAGAGATATTTTGAACGGTTATTTTGGATGTTATTTAACCCACTGCACTCTGATGAACACCACTCAGCTGTTCCACACGCAACCATATGCGCGTGCGCAATGACGCAGAAAATAGCCTTTAATTAAGTGGAGAGGGAGAACTTTCCCATGTAGTTGTAGTCAATGTACCTGCAACACAGTCAACTCCACGAAGATTTCTAAACTATACAGCTGTAGATATGTTCTTGAAGCCGAAAAAACCATACACGTTTCACTTAAAAATTAATTCACTTATCTAAAAAAACTGATGGATGGTAGAAATAAACAGAAATACAGTAGTGTTGTGTACACGACTGTGATTTGGTGACTTGCCTTGATTGTGCCATGTTTAACGCGAAATGCGTGGCAAGTACTGGCAATGCACTGACGGCATACCATGTGGATCAAACCTTTATATAATAATAATAATAATAATAATAATAATAATAATAATAAATTTAAATTGTTTTTAATGAGATCAAAAATCTTCAGTCATGATTCCCAGTAGATATACACATTTGATTTAGCTGCTGGCTGTTTCGTTTGTGCACTCTGTTAGACTTGGTCAAAACTGAATTATTTGAATAGGTGGGTGGGTTTGATAATATCATTATAAACTTGGAACAGAGTCACAACTATCGCATCTGTTCTCATGTATAAATATATTCCTACAGTAAAAGTGTCATCCCTACCGCAATTATGGTACAATTATGTTAGCACCAAGTGTGCAATATATATATATAAGTCGATCGCAGGCCATGATGTCGAGATGAAGGTTACGAGTTCTGTATGACAATATGATTAATGATGCCATGACAGTGAAGATAAACAGCTATTCGCAGTCGAAGGCATTTCGTATGAAGTAATTTCTATTCCCACAGTTTTGCCATTTTGCTTCTCAGGGATATATTTTAGTGTAACATAAAGAAATAACCCCCCCCCCCCAATTGTCTGAGAAGGAAAGTGTTCAATGCATCCGTATTGCCAGCTACTTACATGGGACAGAGGCGTGTCCATGGAACAAAAGCTACAAGTAGCAGAGAGAAAGACGTAAAGATATATGTTGAACACCAAACCAAGATATAGAAATGTCAGTTGATAAGAGAACAGACCAAGTTGAAGAAAGTGCTGATATCAATCAAAGAAATGGAATGGAAATGGACAGGGCATGTCCGTAGAACTAAGGATGGCATATGGGCAGAATGGACACCAACATATGGAGATAGGAAACAAGGAAAGTCACTCAGGAGAAGGAAAGATGAGTTAGACGAGTACTGAAAAAATGGAAGTCCAAAACTCAAGACAGAATGCAATGGTAGAAGGATGCTGAGTCCTATGTTCAGCAGTGGAACACTTTAGGCTCTGAATGATGACGATGATGATGATGATGATGATGAAAGAAAGTTATGCCATTTTATTTGACTCTTACGTCGTTTGAAGTATGGCACTGCCATTGGCTAACTTTCACAGAGTCTGTACCATCAAATAAAATTTCAGAAGAACAGCGTTCTTTTATGTCAAACTTTAAAGTGCTTTGTAACTACAGCACCAGTGTTTTCTGTATTATTTTCAGAAGAATAACTTCCTTTGATGTCTAACTTCAGAGTGCTTATTAGCAACCTACCAGGGGCCGGTTTCACAAAGCAGTAGTTAGTTAGCGATCGGTAGTTAGCCTCTCTCTAGTTATAGTGCCGTTTCACGAAGCAGTCGCTAGTTCTCTCGCTCGTTATTGTCTCGTTGTTGCCTTGGATATTTAACGACTGGTCAGACCAGTCGCTAACTCTAGAGTTTCATCGTACGCATGCGTAATGAGTGAAATAAAAAGGTTGCTTAGTTACCGTTGTCTGTCGTTTGTCTTTGTATCCAATATGGCGGCTACTTTTCTTGCTATCCGTACCGCCAGACGGCAACGTAGACTACGACGTTTTCATGAAAGGCAGAATCTATTAGAATATACACACGATGATGCAATTTACGAGAGGTTGCGCCTAGCTGTGACAAAAAGAGCGGCAAAAAGGTGGTGGAGATCCTTTACGACGACCTCAAAGCAGACGTTCTTATGCATTTCCAGCCACCAAAAATTGGAGAGTTAGTGCTTTCGTCACACTTTTACGCAAGAGTTCCACTTCCGGCAGACGGTTTCGAGACTACGGTGAGTAACGAGAGAACTAACGACCGAACTTTACGACTGAACTTAGCGATGAGTTAACGACTGCTTCGTGAAACACACCTCGAAAATCGCTAAGTTTGTTCGTTAGCGAGGTAGTTCAGTAGTTAGTTGTTCTAACTAACTACTGCTTTGTGAAACCGGCCCCAGCACATTTTCTCCCAGCCAAAGTATTGATTACACATGTATATACTGATGTACATATATACTAGAATGAGTGGAGTTTCTAATATGCTCTTCTTATTTTCACAATACAGCTGTTTAGGGTGAAATAAAAATTGTGCAAGAAGGTCTAAATATTCTTTTATACTTTGCTCATCGTATGGCTAATAACATTTAAATCAATTTACTTTTAAAGATATGTGTGTTATGGATTGTTATACGACATAGATTTGTAATACTAGGATATCAGCTACATATACAGTATATAGCAAGTCAAAAATGTTTCTATAAAATGTTTTTTTCTCTGTAAAACATCTGTTCTTCATGGAATAATTGAGTCAGTCGAGAGTGACGCTACACATACGTCTTTCCTGGTGACACACACACACACACACACACACACACACACACACACACACACACACACGCACGGGTATTTTCCGGTTATACTGCCGTATTGACAAATTTCGCATAGGAAGTGGTTGTTAATCGCAAACTACAAATGCATCAGATATAATTAGCTGTTCTGATTCCATCAAGAGATTAGCAGCTGGTTCGAGATAGCTAAATAAGCGAGTAAACCGCACACGATACAGTAGCAGCTATGGCACAAAAAGACCCGGATGATTTCAAACATTTTCTTTGATGTGAGCTTTTGAAGTGCTTGGTAACTACCTGTATGTTTTGAAGGCTTGCAAATTACAAAGCAGTATATAAATGATTCATCCTGCCAAAAGTGTCATATAGATCTGAAACATCCATCAGTGATCATTCGACTCGAGAAACGCTTACAGAACAAGAAGTTCCATTTAATTTGTTTGCCTTACTGGAGCCCGGTAAGTTTTCATTCTTGAATTTGTAATTTAAAATGTACTAGTGCGTTTTTTTTCTACTGGTCAGTAATAGAGGCTATGCGTTAGATATTGTGATATCTCTAGCTAGTGTCTGTCCTTTCTCCGCCATATTCGAATCAGAATACAGAGTCTAGATATTCAAATGCAAATAGCCCAAACACATTAATTTCCCTGAAAATTGTGGGCAGTATCTCCGGAAACCATTACATATCATAAACTGCTGAACAACATATTTGCAAATAACTGTGGCTAGATTTATGCTTAATCAATCTGCCCTGAGTTCTTTGTTCCGACCAGTTTGCGTTCAGGCAATCAATTTGCAACCTAAATATCAAGGACTAATTTAGTCATAGATGTTCTAAGTCTTAGGTTAACCTTTTCCATTTACATTTTTGGTTATTGAGTATATATATAAATATATTTGCAGTGTTTAAGATGTAATGAATTATATGTCAAGTAAGTATAGCTTGAAATGATAATGAAATTAGATTTAAACACTCTTTATTAATTTTGAAGTGTCATCTATTAACTAGCATACCGTGTGTATTTCATCGTTTAAGTGGATGTGATTTGTTAAACCAGATGTGCTACAACGAATGTGTGTGCTTCTGTCGTAAAACGGAGAATCTATTGCCATTTATATTATACCAAAAACTGAAACCGAAACTCAGAAGGTTGTCATATATTAATGGTACAGTACCAAGTACAGTACCAAGTTTTCTTTATTAATGTATTTCAATATAAATATTTAATACATTTTTCTTCAGGAATTCAGAAGATGGCCGGTTATCTTGGTATTCTACTGATTGCAGTCATTTTGACGGGCAGTGTTCTGAGGGAAACCCAAGCGGTTTGCTGCCATCCCATTTTAAACGGAGGAGGATACTGCAAGGATTGTACAAAAGTAAGATATGCCGTTTTGATTTAGTTTATAATAAAGCAAAATGCAAAGTGGATAGATTTACACAAGAAGAGAATGATTTTAATATGATTTGCTTTCTCCATACTGACATGGCGAGATAAAAAATACAGAATAGCACCCCTGTGTCTCTTCTACGGTGGATCAATTTTTTTATCTGGTTTGATACCAGCTCGGTTTCAAAGCCTCCGTGATTTCTTAGGGACCATTCAGATTGACAAGAGCCGAGTTCTAGTAAGGCCGCGATCTAAATATGGCGGACCTACATGACAGGAAGACCGCTTAATCCTGTAATGGTCTTTGGGGAGGCGTCTGAGAGGCGGAGAGACCATCTGAATGGTCCCTTAAAAAGTGATATATCTCAAAAAGAACACGTATATCATGATAAAGGAAGTAGTCGGAGAATGCCGTAAAATCTGTTCTGGGTTTACAAGGTACCAGCACCTAAAGAGGTCGCCAGCTTTACACACCTTTTACAAAATAATGTTTGAGGAAAAAGGTGTATCAGATGGATACATTTTCTGACAAAAGCCAATCATCGTATTTTCCCTAGAATATTCTGTTATATTATATAACATTATAGTATATGTTATATTATTTAACATTAGGTTTGCCTTGATACCTCTCATTCAACACCAAAATACAGGACATACGTGTAATACGCGTACGCAACGACGTAATGGAGTGTTTCATTATCTCCTGTATAAGGGCATTTTTACAATCCTGGGCACTTTTCAGATTTTCCCACATATTGCTAATTAACAAATTACATACATATGATCAAAGAATTATTTTATCACCATGTTGGAGAATGGTGTAAGTGAAGATAAACACTGAAAATAGAAACCAAATATCACCACCGAGTCCAAAGTTATGCTAAAGCAAAGCCCGAAAAATGACAAAAAAAATTTCCCGTTTCAGTCATATGAAATAAAAAGCAATCTGAAATAAATTAAAACAGTCTTTGACATTGCATTTTTTTTTTTTTTTTTTTGGATTATAAAACACTCAGTAGTATGGTGGAAGCAAAAAAGTTTAAATATTAACAGGAGAGAGGTGTATCCTAGGAAAAAAAGTCTTTTAATGGCATGCTGGTATTTCCGTTAAACGATATGTCCATTCCGAAACAAAAATAAATTACTTTCAGAAAATATATCATAAAACATACAGTATAATTAACAATCCTAATCATTATTTGGATGTATTGGTATTGTTTGTATCAAATAATGAAATCTGCGCGATGATTCTGGAGCTTGACATGGAGTGCAAAATAACCCTACCGTGTTTTTCCGTTAAATTTGTCCATTCCGAAACATTGGGTTTTTCTTACATAAAAAGAACATGTTGACACCTAGCCTGTAACAATATATATTTCTCTAAAGCCCAGGACATGTGATATTTATTTTTATATAAGAAAACCCCATGGACCCGAGTCTTATGCACTTGTTAACACCCCGAAAATACTCGAATACGTAAAGATCAATATAATATAATATAATATAATATAATATAATATAATATAATATAATATAATTAAGTCTACATTAAAAAGCAATGTTTCCACATTTTGCTAACATCATACTCAAAATCAACATCAAATTATCCCAGTTTTGTAGGGACAATTTGTGAACAAATAATTAGTTTTAATGAAAACATTTGCTGATCATTATCCAAAATTCGTTGCAGTTAAAGTGAGATTGGTGGGTGGTTCTCATGCTGGTGAGGGGAGAGTGGAGGTGTACCATAATGGTGAATGGGGCACTGCCTGTGATGACGGCTGGGATGTCAACGATGCCCGTGTGGTCTGCAGAATGCTCGGTTACAAGTAAGCACATCGTTAATTTTGTGTTTCATTTCCTACCCATTTTAATCATAAAGAATGCCTATTTCTAAAAAAAGTATCTGCTAATGTCAACTAATTTGACGTGGCTTACAAATTCCAGAACTACGTATTCCGTATTCTTTTCTGGCTCTCATTTCGGTCGAGGTACTGGTTCCATTCTAATCAATAACGTCACTTGCTCTGGGAACGAATCATCTATCCAAGATTGCGGACACAACGGTTGGAGGTCACATGACTGTGATCACACTGAGGATGCTGGTGTCAGATGTGTTGCAGCAGGACCTGGTGGGTGAACAGAGTGTTTTCTTAATTTACAAATTTTAGTCATGCTATAAAATGGCATTTACATTATTTTTGCCATTGACCCGAGGGGGTTCATGTATTATAATGGTTTTTAAATGATTATCTCATTGGGCACGAATTGTACGCACCGTTTCGTGAGAAACAACGCGTTAGCAATATGGATAGTGCTTATATAAAACTTTGTTGATCGTTATAAGTAATTAATTGCAGTTGAAGTGAGATTGGTGGGTGGTACTCGTGCCGGTGAGGGAAGAGTTGAGGTGTTCCACAACGGTAAATGGGGCACTGTCTGTGATGACGGCTGGGATGACATCGATGCCCGTGTGGTCTGCAGAATGCTTGATTACAAGTTAGTACATGGTTTATTTTATGTTTCTTTTCCTACTCATTTTAATTGTAAAAGTGTTATTCATTTTTTTTTTAAATCTGGCTATGTCAACTGATTTGATGTGGCATACAGATTCCAGCCCAAGGGGTTCTGTTTCTTTTTATGGCGCTCATTTCGGCCATGGTACCAGTTCCATTCTTAAGGATTAAGTTACATTCAATGGAAGTGAGACCTCTATCAAAGATTGCAGTCACAACGGTTGGGGGTCACACAACTGTGGTCACTCTCAAGATGTTGGTGTCGCTTATTTTATGTTTCATTTGCTACCCATTTTAATCATATAGAATGTTGCCCATTTCTAAAAAAAAATATCTTCTAATGTCAACTAATTTGACGTGGCTTACAAATTCCAGACCCACGTATTCCGTATCATTTTCCGGCTCTCATTTCGGTCGAGGTACTGGTTCCATTCTAATGGATAACGTCGCCTGCTCTGGGAACGAATCATCTATCCAAGATTGCGGACACAACGGTTGGAGGTCACACGACTGTGATCACTTTAAGGATGCTGGTGTCAGATGTGTTGCAGCAGGGCCTGGTGGGTGAACAGAGTGTTTTCTTAATTTACAAATTTTAGTAATGCTACAAAATGGCATTTCTATTGTTTTGCCATGGACCCAAAGGGGTATCATAATGGTGTTTAAATGATTATCATTGGGTACGAAATTTACGCCCTGTTTCCTGAGAAACAATGCGTTAGCAACATGAATAACGCCCTGGTGGGTGAACAGACTGTTTTCTTCAATTTGGCATTTTAGTCATGCTTCATAATGCTAATTGAATTATTTTGGCCATGGACCCGAGTCTTATGCACTTGTTTACACCTTCTATATACTCAAAAACGTGAAGATCAATATAATATAATATAATATAATATAATATAATATAATATAATATAATTAAGTCGACATGAAAAAGCAATGTTTCCACATTTTCATATCGTCATATTCATTAATAAACGTCAAAATCGCCGAGTTTTGTAAGAAACTAGGTGTGAACAAATAATTAGCTGCTTATCCACAATTCCTTGCAGTTGAAGTGAGATTGGTGGGTGGTGCTCATGCCGGTGAGGGAAGAGTAGAGGTGTTTTACAACGGTGAATGGGGCACTGCCAATGATGACGGCTGGGATAACAACGATGCCCGTGTGGTCTGCAAAGTACCAAAGTAATCTGTGAGGACGCAGGAGGGATGATTGCTACTCTTACCAACGGTAAATCACCGATTTACTTGACTCCGCTACTTCGAGCAAAATCACCACGAAAAGACAAATTAGACTACGTTCGCCCTCTTATTAAAACAAAGAATGTAAAAATTTGATGTCGGTCAAAGAAGAGGCCTAGGCTACGTGCTTCATGGTTTATTAGATAGGCCTATTCATCGGATTTTAGTTCATTATTATAGCTTCACCTCGCGAGACCCCTTTTAAATATATTTAAAACACAGCACCCCACGGGTTTCGCGATCATGAAGAAAGGGAGTGTAGCAAAGAACCTCATTAATGGTCGTAATAATTGGTGGTTGCGTTGTAGGCCTAACCTTGTTCATTTTAGTTGACAGACTAAGCTAGAAGAAAGAACAGATCATTATCGCCTCTCTTTACTTAGGAACAATAACTGGCTAGTGGCAGCATTTATAAGTTCTTTTATTTAGAAACTTCCGATCCTTTGTCTGGGACTGCCGTTCAACGCCGTTTAAATGACGTTCGAGAAACGACGATAACGACAGAGACGTCCTCGAACATTTTTGGACTCAGTGAAAATAAAAAAAAAATCCGTTAAGAAGTAGTCTTTTAATGTCCTGGCAAATAACTTTGCGATGGCTCAGAGAGTTCTAGAATGAATGACAAGAAACGACATTAGGGTTAATAATAGACTAAAACTATCAGAGTGTAGGCCTGTCTTACTTCATTTCTAAGACCATCTTGTGATACGAGTCATGCTACACTACAATAGAGGGGGTAGCAGTGGATGATTTAATACAGGGATACCATCGAAAGTTTATCAATAGAAAATCGCGATTCCCAAATGTTTTTT